TGTTCTTTTTAAGAGCAGGTTTTCAAAGTTGGGAAAGTTTTGACTTGGTTAGCACAGAGTTGTAATGGACCCTGTAGGCTCTGATTACAGAATAGGTCTTGGTTTTATTGTAGCTATAACAGAACTTGATTTGTACCTAAGCTTTCCTGTGGACCTGTTTTCTGGAAGTTCCTCAGAAGCAGCTCAGCAATCTATCTGTCAAGCTTTTTATGCTGCTAGACACTGGGCTTGTTTAAGTAAACTTCAGAACATTTAAAAAAAAAAAATCTTTGAACTAGATGGAAAATGTCTTTTATTTCTCAGTAAAAAGATAAAACAAGGGAAATCATATCCTTTTGTATGTACTTAAGTGCTTCTAAGCAGCACATTACACTGCTCGCGTAATGTCCTAAATAATTGTCCTAAATCCGGAGAAAGAAAGATACACCTAAAAAGCTGCAAAGTGGTGATGCTCCTGCCCCCACTATCAGGTGGTTAAAAAGACATTTATGTCCTATAGTTAGAAATAATTTTATCCTACTACAACCTTCTGTCTTTGCTTGTTATGGTACTTCTAATAGGTGAGTCCCACTTAGAAGAGGGAGGAAGAAGAATGTTTGCTACTGCTTATAGCTTACAAAACAGTAGAGGCGAAGAAAAATATCCCTCCCAGGATGCTTTTGTGTTCTCAGTGACTTCCACCTCCCGACTGCACCGGCTTTCAATTTCTCTGAAGGTACGTGTCCAATGAATTAGAGTAAAACATCCTTTACTAAAACTTATGCTTTTTATTTTCCTTTAAACATATTAGTCACCTTATGAGCATGAACACTTTGTCTAATCAATAGTCTCTGTAATTGAGAAAAATTCTATTATATGTCCCCTTGCACTTTCATGAGTATTATCTTTCTCAAACACCAACTTAAATAGCTCTCTCTTTGTTGGCCTCTGCAAGATATTCACATCCAAACATGATTATATGGCCATATCTGCTATTTCTTTTGGAAAACAGCTATACAGATTTGATGTACTGGGGGTTTACAACAACACTACCCTTTACCTGAATGCAATTAATTTTTCTGGGGGCAGAGAAGGGGACGATCACTTTGGTGCAATGCAGTAGTGTCCGAGCATACAATCTCATTGAAATGATGGAAGCTTAAGTAAAGCTTTATAAAGACTATCTGAACCGAGGTTGTTTATGGCATAGAGAAGGCCATGTATCTTTCACAAACATGAGACCATAGAAAATTCCTCAGCTGCTATGACAGTTAAGAGGATTTTTCTTAACAGTCTGACTACAACGCACTTTTTTTCCCCTTCATTGAGTGAGACTGATCTAAAAGTCAGTTAAGTATTATTTTTTTTTTAATGAAAAGAAAAATACAAATGCATTTCGATGCTGGCTATGTAAGGAGGGAATGTGGGGAAAAAATCAGCGACACTGCAACATCACTCAAGAAAACAACTGGACTCCAGAACTATTAGAATGTCGTGCTTTGTACATCACTAAGCTATTTAATAAAAATTCACTCTTGAATCAGGTTGACCGGTCAAATTATGTAGTGGTGTGTTTGGTTTTGGGTTTTTTTGAACTTAAACTTCAGGCTCTGTGAAGCATTTGCCTAGACCGAATGTGCAAGGTGCCATGGATTAACAACACGGACCCATATGGAATGTGTTTGAAGTTTTCAAGAAGTTATTCTGCCAGACTTCATTCCTTAATGACCTTTGATACACCTTGGATAGTGGAAAGGCAGTTCAGAATTGTATCTTGTGATCATATGTTTTTGGCAGCTATCAGAAGATGAAGGATGCTAAAAGTTAAGGCTTTTATCCACAAACAATGGTGTATATTAATAAACTCTATACCATATTTACAAATGCTTTCTCTTGTATTAAAACTAACAGTATTCTGTTCACAGTGCCAATGTTTTTACAGGTAGCAATCCCACAGTACTCCAGTATTTTGGCATGGGAATCAGTAGCGCTTTCTATTTACACAAAATGTACACATATGAATATAAACATGTTACTTGAAACAGTACTCAAAAGATAGATCTGTTCATGTTTCAAAGGTTTAGACTGTACAACACCTTCCCCTTTGTTTGCAAGGGAATATTGTTCCTTGCAAGGAGAAGATGCTCGTCTCTTATGCAAAGAAGTGGCATAAAAATGATTACCAAAATGAGCCTTGTTACACTGGAGTTGTGTATACGGAGAGTAACTTCAGTCCAAGGTTTATAGATCTGTTGTTTAGTGCACAGAATACAAAAGTTAAAAAGGTTTTTGTTTTAATTGCTAAAATAACCAGACTCTCTCTGCCCTCTGTGAGCACTGTCTCACTCAGCCAGTGTCCTTTGGATGCTGAAGATGCTGGTGGTTTGATGTGCAGCCCAGCTGCCAGCATGGAAAGCATATGGCGCCCTGGGCCTATATACATATGTCACAGTATGACTCGTGGTAAATGAATATATAACCGAGAGTGCCTCTGTCTCCCCTGTTCTCTCAGTAATCCTCCCTGCTTCGCGGCAGCCAAAACCAGCCCAGCTTCAGCGCTGCGGACTGGGACTCCACATTCAGGCAGTTCATGATCAGAAGTGATGAATGGCGTCAGGCATGCGCAGAACGAAGAGAGGGGAGAGGAACATGAAGGAGATCCAGAAAGGAACCCAGCAGAACCACGGGCTTGTTTGTGAGGACCCTTACAGCTTCTGCTTTGACGCTTCTTCCCTCTCCGCGGTCTTGACAGCGGTGCTATACGGAAAAGTGCAAAGCTGCCACTAAGGGGTCTCGTCTTCATTTAAAGTCTGTTCTTGGCTGCCAGTCACTTGACCTGAGTGGTCATTGCTCCTACTACTGCTGTGCTGCTTGTGGAGCAAACTCCTCCACTTGGCCTTGTTCCTCCTGAGATGGTTTAGCATATTTTCAGATAGGGGCGTATCACCTGTAAACTGGGCCCACCTCTCAAAGAGTGGCTCTACGATGTACGTCATGAACCCTGGGGAAACACATGAAGGACAGCAGGTGAGGAACAAATTCAATCCATGAGTGCATTGCCCCATAGAGCCTAAGTGGCAAAACCCTGACGAGGAATAACAACGATGCCTCAAGCAGCCATCAGCTCCTTTTCAAATGCACAACTTTTGACCAGCGCACTTGACAAGATGTGGCTCTGTGTGTGTAGCAGTAAAATCTATGAGAGACAGCATCCTTCTCTGAGGAGATTTCAGACTATAAAGTAACTGGTGCGTAATCGCGTGTGTTGGCTGTGACTTCTCTCCACAGATGTTAGAATGACCCCTTATCTTCAGACTATAAAGTAACTGGAGCGTAATCGCGTGTGTTGGCTGTGATTTCTCTCCACAGATGTTAGAATGACCCCTTATTTCCCTGTGCAATGACTCCTTTGTCTTTCTATTGAATTTTGGCTTGGGTAGGTTTCTTTCTGAATATTTGTATTTAGAATGTGAATCATGAGTCTTATGGTACCTACAATTCTTACTATTAGAACAACAAGACTGGGGGGAAAGGAAAGAAAAAAAAGAAAAGTTTCTCTTTAAGCTTGTGCCATACTGAGATGAGATAAACATGGAGAGAAGAGAATGAAACTAATACTTACCGATCTGTATGCTTGGTATTGTATCTTTCTGCTGATTACAAAGGGGGCTTATTTCCAGTTCAAATTTTTGTTCCAGGTCACCTGCAAAAGAAAGAAGAGAAAATAATTTGCTGCCACTTATACCTCTTCTCCATACCTCTGTCACACCCTTACAGTGACTGCAACTGTGTGGATCTGAGCAGCTGGAATCTTGCACCAGTGATGACCATGTTAAATGTCTAAATATCTTCATTTTTTGGACTTTGTTTTAGTATCAGAGGAACTGAGAATGCATACAAAAAAAAATATCTCTAAGGAAAGGTGACTTTTGAATGAACATTAAATCTGAGCACTTACATGTTTTGAGGACCTTAATTTTAAAAATAGATTCTCTCACATGAAAGATTTTTAGGACATTCTAGTTAATTTACTCAGTGTTCAAACATCTTCCTACGACAAAAATGCAGAATATACATTTTAGAAAAAACGCATCTCTGTTAGTACCGTAGTGTGAGTTGCTACTGCGTGCTTGTGGAAATTGCTGAAGGGCAGCGTGATGGAGCCTGGCAGCCCACAGCTGTGCCTGCATGAACAAACGGGCCAGAGCATGGGCTCAGGCAACCTGTGTTCGTGTGCCAAGAGCTATGGAATTCAAGTTACAAATGTGGAAAAAAGGATGAAATTAAAAGTTTGTCTTCTAATTGTGGTGTAGCTGGGTACCAGGGCCGTGCCAGTGCTGCTGTGCTGAGCTTGTATCACCAGTTCCTTGGGTGGGACAGGAAACCCGCAGGGAGTCATCTGCACAGGGCTGACGTGAGACAGCAGACAGGCTTGAAACAAAAAGCGGCTGGCTGAACTCCTAGCCACCTTCACAGCGCACTATTTGACCAACTGGAGCAGCAGGTCTCCAGGTGCCAATCTGGGACTGCCCTGAAGACAAGGCAGTGCCTGCTGTGACTGGCCCTGGGCTCCGTTTCAAATTGTTGAAGAACAGCCTGGATGGGGGATCTGCTCACTCCAGATGCCACCTCAGACTGCTCCTGCTGCAGAATTGAATGAATCTGGCATCGAGAAGATGCTTGTAAACAGTCAGTAGGAACCATTCCTGCAGATGCAGAAATGGTCACACAAGACAATCTTCCATACACAGCCAAGATATTTTTAATGTAGTTGAGCGTAATGTATAGCAATGATCATGCATATGCTGGAGTGGTCACAGAGGACCACAGGCCAGCTGGATTCAGCAGAAAACAAGCTTCAGGAGTCTCATTTGCTCCAGCTGAAGCTGCTGTTGCCATCCAGACAGCAACCACCTGTCCTGCTGGAGAGACTGCATTTCCCCACGCAATCAGTACTCCATGCAAAGATTGCTGTAAGTAAGTTAAGGTTGGTTGTTTATTTTTTTTTAAACAAACACTTTGTGAGTCTGACACATTCATCCGTTGTGATTTTTAGCCTTCTCCAAGATGCTGCTAGGGTACACTCTTAGTTACTGCATGAATCATAGAAACACAGAATGGTTTGGGTTGGAAGGGACCTTAAAGATCGTTTAGTTCCACCCCCCCTGCCATGGGCAGGGACACCTTCCACTAGTCCAGGTTATTCAAAGACCCATCCAACCTGGCCTTGAACACTTCCAGGGATGGGGCATCCACAACTTCTCTGGGCAACCTGTTCCAGTACCTCATCACCCTCATAGTGAAGGATCTCTTGCTGAAGGTGCACTTGATCCCACTGTCCATGTCGCTGACAAAGATATTAAACAGCTCTGGTCCCAGTACTAACCCCTGAGGAACGCCACTTGTCTCCACTTACTTAGACATTGAGTCATTGACCGCAACTCTTTGAGTGCGACCATCCAGCCAATTGCTTAACCACTGAGAGCTCTATCCATCAAATCCATGTCTCTCCAATTTAGAGACAAAGATGTTGTGCGGGACAGTATCAAATGTTTTGCACAAGTCCAAGTAGATGATGTCAGTCACTCTTCCCTTCTCCACTAATGCTGTAACACCGTTGCAGAAAGTCACCAAATTTGTCAGGCATGATTTGCCCTTAGTGAAGCCATGTTGGCTGTCACCAATCACCTCCTTTTTTTCCATGTGCCTTAGCATGGTTTCCAGGAGGATCTGCTCCATGATCTTGACGGGCACAGAGATGAGACTGACTGGCCTGTAGTTCCCTGGGTCTTCCTTTTTTCCCTTTTTAAAAAAGGGGGTTACGTTTCCCCTTTTCCAGTCAGTGGGAACTTCATCAGATTGCCATGACTTCTCAAATATGATGGATAGTTGCTTAGCAACTTCATCTGCTAGTTCTCTCAGGACCCACGGATGCATCTCATCAGGTCCCATGGACTTGTGCACCTTCAGGTTCCTTGGACGGTCTCAAACCTGATCTTCTCTTACAGTGGGTGGTTCTTCATTCTCCAAGTGTCTGCCTTTGCCTTCTGCAACTTTGGCAGTGTGGCTTGAGCACTTGCTGGTGAAGACTGAGGCAAGAAAGTTGTTGAGTACCTCAGCTTTCTCCATATCCTGGGTAACGAGGTCTCCCATTTCCTTCTGGAGAGGGCCCACATTTTCCCTAGTCTTCCTTTTGTCACCAACGTACCTATAGAAGCTTTTCTAGTTGCCCTTGACACCCCTGTCCAGATTTAATTCTATCAATCAGGGCTTTAGCTTTCCTAACGTGATACCTGGCTGCTCAGACAATTTTTCTGTATTCCCCCCAGGCTACCTGTCCTTGCTTCCACCCTCTGTAGGCTTCCTTTTTGTGTTTGAATTTGTCCAAGGAGGTCCTTGTTCATCCATACAGGCCTCCTGGTGTTTTTGCCTGACCTCCTCTTTGTTGGGATGCACTGCTCCTGAGCTCGGAGGAGGTGATCCTTGACTATCAACGAGCTTTCTTGGGCCCCTCTTCCCTCCAGGGCTTTATCCCATGGCACTCTACCAAGCAGATCCCTGAAGAGGCCAAAGTCTGCTCCCTTGAAGTCCAGGACAGTGAGCTTGCTGTGCCCGTTCCACTGCCCTGAGGATCTTGAACTCCACCAATTTCATGTCACTGCAGCCAAGGATGCCCTTGAGTGTCACATTCCCCACCAAACCCTCTTTGTTGCGTGAGGTACAGACCCTTTCCTATCTACAGCATGAGAGGGAAGGGAGACTAGCTGTGTGCAGGCTAAGCTGCGCACTTGCCCTCAGGCAATAATACTTGGTCCATTTGATTTACTAATAAGGATGCAGTGAGGGGCAGTTACAAGAAACATTCCCATAAATAAGACTGACCTGCTAGATCAGACAAAATGTTGTATTCCATCCAAAAAGAATAAATTTGCTTTAAATCTACTACTTTTGTTTGAAAGTTCTTTTTTCCCCACTAATAGACTGTTTTGACTTAAATGCTATTGTGCCACTTGGGCACTATAACCCCATATAAAATACCGTGTGCGTTTTTAAGCCTTGCCTTTCTTCTCCCTGCAGCATACAGTTGCTTCTTAAATGTGAGGGGAGTATTTTCAGTTTTAATTAGATATGCACAAAATACTAGGGAAATGTTTTTAGCTTCACAAACAATCAAAAGGAACAATTCAGCAAAACTGAGACAAAATAACAGTTTGTCATGTTTCCAAATGTGAAATTTTTTTCCCCTCTACCCCCTCCAAAAAACTTTGACCGAAAAAAACAGTGTCTTTCTTACTCCAGTGATGTTCCCTCTGCAGGTATTCTGGGCTCAAAATGGTTGACCTGTTTGGCTTGAAGTGTATCAACATCATCTTATCTTTGACGAGTCATTTAATTGGCAAAAGTAAGATTTTCCTTTGCATGCTGAACAACTTAAATGATGATAGCCAGTTTTCATGTTTCAAGTTGCTTTAAAAGAACTGCATGAATTAGTTGCTGAGACTTTCAGGCTGGGTAAAACCTTCCAAGCCATTTTAAAACCTCACCAGAGAAACTGATCATTTAATGGCACTTAAACATTAGCCATGTTCTTTAAACTTGTTTCTTGCCAGTGCTAGTTTTATATAAACATACCAAGTTGCATTATTTACCCTGTGTTCCCATTTGACTTTCAAAACACCCGTTCGAGAACAAGTTAAAGTGTTAGGAGCTGCCGGAGGCATCAGGTGCTCCCTGAAACATACCCAAGTCGTGTATTTTATTTGCTAATAGGTGTCGTGTAGATGCACCAGATGACTGGAAGATCAAGATCTGAGTCTATTAAAATGGCATTAGAAATGTTTTGTACAAAAATGTTCAAAGTTTGTATGTGTTACAGGAGGAAGATTAAACAAGGCACTAAGTGTGGGATTATCTGCCTCATCTGTAGTTAAAAATCAAAGCACAGGAGCTATGGTTTTCAAATGCTAACTTTAGTAACAAAAAACACCTTCAAGCCCCAGCACTGTGTGTAAGGAGGTAGAGAGGTCTACAATAATATTTTTACGTGACAATGGTATCTAAATACGTGACATTTAATATTGTTTTTTGTATCACTTACCAGGACTACACAGTCATACCACAGTTCCTATTCTCCCACATGAAACGCTCTTTTTCTCCCTATTACGCTTCTAACTGGTTTCATATGCTCCAGTGTCTCCTTTCGGAGGTGTATTATTTTAGATGTTATACTAATAAATCTTGAGTCTTAGGGAAAAAGCTTAAATTCATAAGGGCTGAGAGTGCCGTCTTTCTCAGCATGGTCCATCAATACACTAAAGGCGACGTATCACACAACTAGGGCCCTGCCCTCATGTGCTGAACGTGACTAAATAAACCTCCATCTGACAAGTTGCTTATGTCGCTTCGAAAGCATCAAAGTCAAAGACATTTCACCAGCTTAAGCTGACATTGGCTGAAAATTAATGTTTGTTAATGTTATGGAATAACTGTACCAGGTACCAGCCTGGATGCGGCTTAACTTTGTAGCACAGAATTTTAAACGGATTGAGAGCTTCATTGTGCTCTCTTCCAGCGTTTGTACCACTTGCCTTCAGCTCTCAGGATGCGCCGAACAAAGAACTTAGCAGTGATTAAACTCTGCTGCACCCTGTGTTGTCGTGCAGCATGACCCTGCCTATGCAGATAGAGCCAAAGGGTGTAATTGCTGCGCTTAAAAAAACCACTGCCCGCCTGCACTCTCTGCAGGGGTTTGAAAACATTTGCAATAGGTCCTAGCCGAGCTTTGGCTTGCCTGCTTCGGCCCTTTCAACAGCGTTAGAAGAGCCCGGCGTGCTGGGAACCGCGTTTGAACCCCTTCTCTGCGTTTGTGCGCAGCAGAACGGGTCAAATTTGGGAAACAGCGAGGGGAAGGCTCCCATCGGAGCCGTAGCGGGAGCGTGAAGAGCGAGGTAAAACGCAGCGGACAGCGGTAGGATTTTGGTGCAGTGTAGCCCCGGGGCCGTTCCAGCTCAGAAGAGCTAACGGTGACTGGCGGGTTCTCAGAGAAGAATCCAGCCGTGGGCTCTCCAGCCGAACGCGAGCGCGGAGGCACAGCAGAGCCCTCCCTCCTGCCTGATACCGCTACAGGAGCAGTGAGGGCAAAGAAATACTTGCTGCTCTTTCACCCCTTCCCCCTTTTCAGATGAGGCCAGTAGATCTTCAACAGCTCGTTCCCGAGGGAGATGCCACGGCAAGCTGGGCAGGCTGAACCCCTGCCGCGCCACACAAAACGCCTGGAGAGCCGAGGTGAACGGGGACCGCCGCGCGCCGAGGGGCTGACCTTGCCGGTAAAACTCTTCGCAGACCCGTTCGCTCCACTGTTTGCTCAGATCCCAGAGCCGGCAAGGGTTGCAAATGTCAGCGCACTTGAGTGCGATCTGAAAGCAAAGAAGAACGGTAGCGGTGAGGGAAGAAATTACTGTCTAGCAGTGCTTCAGCAGTAAATCTGCAGTTGCGAAACTCCCAGGCCCCACCAGCGATGCCGGGAAGGGTTAAGATCACCTTTTCGAGACCCAGCCTCACCCAAACATGCCGTTTGAAGAAAGAGCATTTATTTAAGCCGCAAACAAAACTTTCATTCAGCCCTCTGCTTGAGCGTAGTGAGAACAAGAGGAGGGCCAAATTCCAAGGCTGCAAAGTCTTTTGGATACTCCTTGTAAGGAATAAGCCAACGAAAGCCTGCGGCTGGCTCCCGCTGCCTGCCTGGCTCAGCATCCACGACTGATGACAAGGAAGGGAAGAGCCAAGCTGGTGTAGGACTGTTTGGGCATCGTTTCTCTGCGGTCTCGGTGAGTGACCTTGCATCTCACTTCAATTACACTTCATCTTAGTATCGGCGTATTTTTGTTTACAAAGCTAAGCACGGGGCTCTCTGCACTGCTCCTGGCCTGGTTTCGCTTAGTTAACTAGTACTTTTAAGTGCTTTGCAGGGGAATGAGTACAGGAGAGCAAGAGGTTTTTAAAATCAAGTAACTGCTTCAGAAAAGTAAACTGTGTAATTGTCTGTTTTACTGCCTTGGAACAAGATGTCATGTGCCTTGTTTCTTCACAGATTGAACACAGCCAGTTAGCCTGACGGAGGTCAGAAATCATTCTGGCACCCAGGAGGAAAACATAAGAAATATTTCCTGTATAAATTCAGACCCGTGAACTGGAAGAGGGGAGTCTCCAAGTCACTTTTCCCTCTGGATTAAATTGATTAGCCTTAATGTTACTGCCTATTACAAGGACCTCTCAAACATTCTTTAACTTATCCCGATCAATCAAGATTTCTTGATATTTTTTTTTCTTCTTCCAGAATTAATCCACCAGATGAGTAAAGCTCACCATGTCTGTGCCCTAGTTCCTGTCTTCAAGAAAGGGCATAAGAAACTTTTTCCCATAGTTGAGATCTGTTAATCCCTCTGCCTTTGGCATTTGCACAACTTTCTTGCCTAATCTGTCCAGAAATATGATAAACCCGTCATCCTGCCCTGCATGGTCCACGCAGGCATCTGACAGAAGACCGCGTTTGATGGAGGACAGGCGAGCAGATTACTACATTTCCCACGCTGCTGGAGGGGGAAGAATTAACAGATCAGCACTTCTTTCCCTGCAACTGTCACCTTTCCTGTAACCTCGACAAGTGATAACATGTAGATGTTTGTTTTATAAATGATAACGATTACTTAAACTCCTTTATGTATTTAAGAGAGAAATAAGTGTCATTTCTCCAGAGAAGCATGTATATGCAGCTACTTTAATCAGAATAATGCTTTAATAGGTAGAGGTTTATTCTGAAGAGCCTGTTAATGACTGCAGCTTAGCTGGAAGGGCCAGCCTGAATCTATTTGATTTTTAAATAAAGCATGGCTTCTTCATTCGCTGGGCAGACCCACTAGAGAAGCACCTGCTGCCATGGCAACAGCTGCCTCTGCAGAGGCAGTTTCTGAGCATCAGTCGCAGGAACGGGACTCGGGCACCCGATGTCAGGCTGTCTTGGGGAGAACAGCGACAAGGGGCCTCTCCTGCCCGGTGCTAGAAAATAACGCCAGTGAAGCGATGTTTGCCGGAAGAGAGACTACAATCGAAGCATCACCTGGCAAGAGATGCAGTGGTCTGGAAATAAAATAATTAATAGCTTATCTCAGCATTTGACACTCTCCTGTTTCTATTGCATTCACAGCTTTTTAACTCAAGGAAATTACATGAGGAGATACTGGAGGCACCTTATTGCTTGCCTGACACACCAGGTGGCTGAAACGACGTGTTTATGGTGATAGGTAAGGAGGCACTGATGTCCAGGCACACTATCGTATGCTATTCTAACATATGTGACTTGAAAAAGGAATAAAATGCAACAGTGGAAAAATAGTTTTTGAAGTTACCTGAAGCATAAAATGTCTGTCTTGTGCATCCTCCAGCCTCAAATCCTGATTGTCAAGGTGAGATTTCAGACGGATCAAAAACTCATTCTGCCTATTGATGTCTGTTGCCAAGATCAGGGAGCCCAACTGCTGCTCGATGTCCTGTCTGCAATAAGGAAAATAAGCCCCTTCAGTCACGGAACCATTGAACATTAATAGCTCAAAGCACCCTGCTATGGACCATAGCTAGCATAAATCTTCCTCTTTCTTTGTGGATCCAGTCTCATCTGTTTGGTCAGTCTCTGCTGGGGTTTGCAGGGTACAACTGTTCTAGCTGCCTAAACGGGTTCAGGAGGAATAGATACTGTAGAAGAAAAATGCTTGTTGGCGTTAAGTTGTTCTGAAAAGTGCAAGGGAAGTAAAAAACCCCAAGACAGCAGCATGATGCATCTAGAAAAATGCTCACTTCTTACTTCAGCTGCTCAAGCTGGGTGCTGGATACAGCAACTTTAAAGTTGCAGTTGAAGTTGTAAATAACTGAAGCCCTCTGAAATAGGACTGAAGCTGTTGGTCTGATGCAAGGGATTTCTGGAGGGATATGGAGCTTATTGCTTCCAGGTAACTTGTTTATGTTTTCGGTAAGGTCACCTGTGATTAAAACAGTATTGCAAGCTGTTCATTGGCTCACTCTCCATTCCTTTGTGGGAGTAACACTGCACAAAACCAGCAGATCAAAAGTTAGCATGAACTTGGCCAAGATGCTCATGTTGCTGTTTTGGGTTTTTTTTTTTTACCTCACCCAAAGGTTTGGTTCGGTGAAGACTGAACCACACCTCTTCAGTCAGGTGTGGAAGTCCTGAGCAGTCTCAATGCTACTCAACCAGCTCCTTAATTTTTCTCTTTATGTCATGCTTTTTAATCACTAAATCTTTCCATATTTCGTTGGTGCTATGTAAAATGAAAAATGCCAACAACTGATCTGAAAAGGTCCACTCCTGCTGGGACTCCCAGTGTTCCCGGCGCTGACAGTGGCCATTCCAGTGCTGCAGAAGTGGCAAAGTCTTAGAAAACACTTCTGCTGTATAACTTTATCTCATGACTTCATACTGGCATCAAGAGAGGGCAGGAGGTTCAGCCTCCGCTGAAGCCTGGGCCTCTTTGCCAGTCTCCTTTTAAGAAGAGTGATGGAAGCCACCGACTAGTTTCAGCGATGCACGTCCCCCAGCGGACACTTACGTCACCTCCTTGGGCAGATGGGCGAGGAGCCGTGACTCTCGAAGCATGCCGATCGTAGATCGCCAGTGATGATTTTCTAGCACTGAAACATTCTAGGGAGGAATAAATTCAAGGATTAGGCAGGTATCAGTACAGATACCTGATTTGGTACATCACATCATGCCTGGAGCTGGTTGGAAGTGCTGTAACATGAGCCTAAAATGTGTGCTTTTTAGCCACCTTTTGGATTTGAGGAAATGGTCTGGATTTCTAGAGCTAAGGACCTTGTGCTTCCAGGTTTTCTAGCCAAGGTCAGCGCTACAGTCCTGTTTTTCTACAGTTTTTGAGTCCTGCTGTGAACAGAGGAGCTAATCTCATCGGAGTGGGAGGTAGCTTGCATTCTAACAGATTTATTAGCAAAAGAATTGAAGTATGAGTGCACAATCGTATTTTTACCTCCTGCTGATGCCAGGTTGAACTTCTCAGCTTCTACAGTTTGAATGCAGAGTGGACAAGAAAAGGAAAACTAAACTGCCAAATTTCCCTTGGAGTCAGGGAACTGGAAGCTGCCTGCAGCTGCTCAGTGAAAGCAAGAAGAGTATCAGTATCACTGAGCGCCCACAGGCTTCAGCAACTTGGTCTGCAACAAATTCTGAGTCCTTTTTGTTCGTTTGCTTCCAAATAAGTGGCACCAAAGTTAGGTTGGAAAAAATTCCTAAGAACAGAAACCCAGCTTTTTAGGTTGTCTGTAAATTACAACAAATGGAATATCTTGTGTTTGATGACTTTATATGACTATCCTAATGCCCAATGCATTTGCCAGTCATCACTCGCTTCACAGAGTACTTTCTACTCCTGAACGCCTCAGAAATGTCACCAGTTCAGAAACCTCTAACAAAATTCTTCCAATTCACAAAAACATCTGCTTGCGGCGGCGAAGCAGCCCAGCAGAGCAGCACCAGGCAGAGGCCTCAGTTACCCACAACAACGCGCACAGTGTGAACAAGAAGACCGTCACCTAGCAATAGGGACCCTCAGGGGAGTTATGGCATCTGATCCCTGTTTTGGGCAGTTTATGGCTTTTGCAGTAGGTGAGCACTGGATCACCCCCCCCGCCCCAGCACAACCAGACCTTTCGGGCAGGCAGCAGAACCAGGACTCCACCCCATCTGGGTGCCAACTGGGGAAGCAGAGTCAGAATCCCTCCCTCCCGCCACTGTTAGTCTCCCGCTCCCTCCTGCGCAGCCCCCGGCTCCGCGGGGCAGCTGCGTTAGCGCTGCCTTTCCTGCTGGACGTCACGCGCGGCTCCCGCTGCTCCAAGAGGGACTGAACAGTATTTTCTCCCTAAGGCTTCCCCATCCTCCTCTGTACTCCTGTCATGTCTAACGACTGTTGAAACACTAAACATTGCCAGTAACCACGATCCGGTTTGCATTTTGATCATCTTGTCAGTGTTTTTGTTGAAATTGCACGCTCAAAAATTAGTACAAAGGTGAGAGTGCAAGTTGGATTGATTTCCTATTACAATATTTTCTTTAGTATGTTCCATTGCTTTTGAATTCACACAATCACTGATACGTTGCTTTGGTATTTCTTGAGGGGTTTTTGTTTAGTTTTTGTTTGCTTGGTTTCCCTAACAGAAAGCACAGATACTGGGGAACAAAGAAACAAAACAAAACCAACCCCAGAACTTTCCAACCAGGCAAAGACTAAGTCCTTTTCCTTGGAAGAGCTGACAGACTCAGAACTCAGGATCAGCTATGCAGTATCAAAATTACTTTTGACAGCAATTCTGTTCATTAGCCAACTTAAATATCCCTCTTATCCTTTTGCCTAAATACATCAGGATGGACTTTTGCAACCCTACACTCTGACCAAGAAAAATATGGGAATAGAACAGGACATAATAACCAGTTTTTTTGCTTTTTTCACATCCCCAGTCTCAGAGTTGAATCCTGGTCCCAACAGTCACCCCAAGTCCACAGGCTGCCATCTTCCTGCCCTCAGGTAAATTAGAGAAACCCTGCCTGACTGTCACCTTTGGCTTTTGGGAAGGCTTATGCTCATTTAAAATGACAGCGCCTGCGTGCACAGTTGTGGCCCCGCTCCGACAGCACCCTCGAAACACCCTGACTGGGGCGATGCCCCTCGGGGCACCCTGTGCCCCCATGTCCCTTCCAGCACAGCAGCGTTACTTGCTGGGAGGAGCTGCTTCAGCAGCACCCACCTCAAGCGGGGAATTGCGCTGCACGGATGCACGGATGAGTGTGTGGGCACCCAAGGACTTTCTTGCATCCAACTAACGGTTACTCAAATGAAAAAGCAAACTCAGGTATCCATCCCAGAGCATTTCCAGTTCTGTAAGTTTCTACTCTTTGCCTGCTGCTATAGGGAGAACTTAAACCGAAGCTGCTGCCTAGTTTCCCACACTTAAAGTACATGGGAGGAGGGAAAAGGAAAGGTCAAGTTAACAAGTGACAACGAAGCATGAAGTCGTATGACTCTCCTCTTAAATGCAAGCAGCCAGAATCCCTGAAGCTGCTGCCAAGAGTCAGCTATTCCACCTAGGAACACTCTACTGCCTTATTAAGACTAATTGCCATGAGTTATCTGATTGCCTACGCTGGTGGGGAGATAACCCATGCAGGGAAAAGTCTATGTGCTGGCTTGTAGACGGGTTCTCAGCTCTGCTTCGTCTAACTTTTTATTTTTTTAAAAACTGAGCAGCACAGGTTTGTTTTAAAAGCTGCATGATAGGAAGCCTCTGTCACATCTACTGCTTAAAACTAGTGGATTGCTATAACACAGACTTCAGGACTGTGAGGAAACAAAACAGTTTTTCACCAAAACTATCACAAAATCTCCAATCTGTGATTTTCCCTGAGCCATTCAAACCACCTCACTTGACATATGCATTTGGAAAATAATAATAACTTGAAGAGAGGAAGACTTGCTCTTAAGTAGGTGCAGAGAAAACTTCAATTTTATTTCAGAGCGGAAGGGGATCTAAATTTCTTTCAGTCTGGTCATCTGTTCTTAGTCATTGAGCAATTGGTTTAGCTACACAATGTTAAATACTCAAAAATGATACTTTAATTAAAAATGGTGCTTTTAAGGAAGACTGCAAAGTAGAACTGTCATAACTGATGCCCAAAACATATTTTCCTAATTCTAGTTTATATAAATCTATAGTAAAGTTGTAAAGCGTTCTTTCATAGATTTCTGAAACCTGTTTTGTACTACAGATGTTGTATGTGATCATTCCAGACTTCCCAACTATTACACTTCATTTAAGAGCCAGACAAAGATAGATCTCAACTCTCTATTACCGAAATTAAACAGTAACATTTTATTTACATCAATGCCATTTGTTTTCTTAGGAAATTACTAAATAGTTTTCAGTAAAAAGGCATTTTTTTTTTTTTAAAAAGCAGTATGACTTCAAGGTCAGGTTGGACGGGGCTCTGAGCAAACTGATCTAGTTGAAGACGTCCCTGCTCATTGCGGGGGGCTGGGACTAGATGACCTTAAAAGGTCCCTTCCAACTCAAAGATTCTATGATTCTATGACTTTTTCTGGTGTTAAGTTTGATGTGGAGTTTTGGATAACTACAAGGCAGATAAACTACAAGGCAGGACTGTATCTGGCTGAGCAACCTTGAATTGTATACTGCTTTCAGTCAAAAGAAGCAGAAGTAATGTTGGATAAGCCAAATATATCAACCAGAATTTGAGATAGTTGTGATTTTTAAGACTACAGAGAACTAAGACAATGACTATCAAGCAAGAATGAAATTTTTATTTTTAGTTTTAATGGCCAGTGAAAGTTAGAAGCAAAGTCTGCATCACACAAGAAGCATCGTGGTGCTCCTCACAGGAGAAGTGACCTCCAGGTACCTCCTGTCACCTTTTACACTCTCATCTATCCTTGTAATGCTAAGAGACTTGAATGAGGCACTTTTATTTTTGTGGAAAACAGAAGTAGTTCTTGTGTAATGGAAAAAATTTCTTGTGGAAATTACCCTACACATTACAAAAAATGCCTTCCATCATAAAATATGGATTTAATTTGAAAATACATATTGAAAGTTCTGAGCTCCTTGGTGATGACACCTGATCTTCCTGAAACATTATTCTCCTCATATATGCCCTTCAGAAGCTGTCAAATACTTTCCATCTTTGTCAAATACTGAATGACCTTGTTTTACAAACTGTTTTTGCCCAATAATTCAAATGTAAAGTTCGAATTTCAATTTACAAACAATCAAGAGCAAAGAGACAACATAAACTGATAATCCTTAGTCTCAGTACTGTCAGATGACTGCCAGCTATGTTAAAACTTACTTTCATTTGATAATTTTTCTGATTAGTCCCAGCAGTTCCGTGTCTCTGCTATTTAAAAACCAAAAACCCTAGAACTTTTTTGTTTCAGTTTCAAGCACATGTTAAAGCACTAATCTTGAGAAGAATATAATCTATTGTGTTAAAGACTCTTTACTGAATCTAAATTTTTGACTAAAAATGTTTTCAGCAAGACTTTTTTCCAGCATTGTTATTTTTATTGGCATCCATGTACTGTATAACACTAAAATCTTTGGAAACAATCTGGGACCAATTTCAGATAGAATAATATAAGCCAAACTTGCCAGTGAATGTCCCTAAACAGGATACTTAAAAATCACATTTGCTGTTGAAAGACTGCATTTTCTGTATTGTCACTGCCTTTTCTAACCAACATTGAAAGTGTATTCAAGGCCAGTTAGCTGAGCAGAAACCACCTCTCCAAGACACTAATACTTTATTTTAGCTACATTTCTTTCAGATTAACTTGAATTTTCAGCCTAATTACATACTACTGTTTCCCACTATTAATTTGAGGAGGAGTTGTTTATACCTTTTCATAGGACCGGGGTTTTTGTGGAATGGCTCGATCCACTCCTCTTCAAAGGTCTTCCCAAAGTCCCCCGGCTTAGTCCTCTGGCTTTTCTCCCTCCTCACTCAACTGGCCTGACATTCAGAAAAGACTGGAGCAAAATGTACCAGACACGTATAGGTATGACTCAACAAGCTGCATCAGCTTGTGATGAGGCCAGTCACAAAGTTTTAAGTGATTATGTCTGAGCATCACCGTGCCCTGGCTGGAGCTCCCACGGTCCAGCCCGTTCCTGTATGTTAGGGCAGGACAGTTGCACCATCACACAATCCACCTCTTGTGGGAAAACCCAAACGTTGCTTGAGTAGGGGAAAACAAGAATCGCTTTTCAAGTAGTAAGCACATCACAGCAAACTCTTGATTTGCTAAGTATGTGTAGAAATGTATCAGTTAAGATTAATTTTTAGCTTGGGATATTCTGTTTCTGACACTTTATTACAAAGGCTGCAGTTGACTCTTCCAAAGGCTAGAAATCAATACCATCTCCATTTATCAGCTATGAATTATGGTTAGTGAAACCAAAATGATTTACGGCATTGTCCGGTGTGTACATGTAGGTATAATGTAAACAATAGAGATGTGCATACATATATACATGCATGCAAAGATTATACACATAGGACAGTTGCAGATAAAATCCAGAGCTACAGTGATTGCCATGGGCCAAAACCACAAATATATTCAAAAAGGATCACAAAAATCAGGGCAGGATGGGTTCGTCGGTAGTTACTGAAAAAGACAGCCTGTGTTTTTGTTTCAGGAAGTCTTCTACTACTGTTTGCCAGAGCTGGGAGGATGTATACCAGGTGAAGAACAACTCTGCACTTTTCCCAGGCTCATGCTTCTCTCCGAGATCTTTCACTGGCTGCCCTTAGAAACAGGATACTGCTCTAGACAGTCCGTGGTATGACCTACAGTGGCTGTTTTTAAGTTCTTTCTTTATATCTCTGGGCACGTCTGTGTAAATATCTACAACTTTTCCTTTGGTTTTCTCTTTTTTTTTTAAATTGCAGTATTCATTAACTGTTTAATTTTACCAGAGCCACACAAAGCAAAAGTTTCTTTTAATGCAATGCCAGTTTAGAACATGCCTGCTGCTTACTTGCTTGCTGAAGGAAGATGAAGTACAAATTGTCTTGCTGTGATTTTAAATCTCCTGCCCCAGTTCTTTACCCCAGATGATCTACAGCAGAAATAACCCAGGCAACTGATTTGGCATAAATGTCCTCAACAAAAGCTGACATTTCCGCCTTCTTTCTCATGTGTATCAGCTTTGCTGTAAGAAGAGACACCCACTGAGGAGCTTAACTGAAGTTGCCCAGACTCTAAAGTGCAGGTTGATTTGATCAACATCCCCCCAGTGCCAGATTTTGGCATTGAAGTTCACTGAAAATTGCTTAGAATCTCCTTGACACCATTTTATGTATTATCAACTTGATGAGCAGTTTTACCTGGTACAGGCTGGCAAGGTGGTGTTTAGTTTTGATCAGAAAGGGTTGGTTGACCCCTGGATGATCCACGTCATGAGCCGCAGCAGCTAGCAGTCCGAGCATGATGTCCGACGGGGTGAGGAAGTTGGCAAGCTGAATCACGCAAGTTAACCACAACACAAACATAAACAGTAAACACTTTTTTTTTTTCTTTTGGCAAATAAACAAACCAGGTGACATCATGGCATTACTCAGTTTTGCAGGCATTTGTACCCAAATGTCAAATATAAAATAAATTTTGTCAACAATGTTTTTAAGGTGACTGTTGAACAAACATCTATAAAGACATCAGAAGATATACTCATATTTTATTACAGTTTGTATTTCTTATCTCTTTATCATTCATGGCAATATAAAGATTGTTGTTATAGAAGTGCTTGAGCATAGACTAAAAGATTCCGTTTAAAAAAGTAAATAAGTATACTAGCAGGTTAGCATACGTTAGCATACATGATAAAATCTCTGCCTCACATGGCATTTAGTAATACCAACAATACACCAGGCTTCATTTTTCTAGTACGGCACTGTGCTGTAAAATGCAGAGTTTATAAACTTCTGAAATTTCAAACTTGGCTGTTAGATATCTCAGTTCAAATACAGGTATTTTATCAGAGAACATAATTTACCTTTCTAACTTCAGATATCCAAGTTTGAAAACCCACCCAGATTTTTTTCTTTTATACTGCTCGTCATTCACCAGTAAATTTTGTTATCATTGGGAAAAAATTGGAAGTCTTGATGTTTTGTTTCTTAGAGCGAGGTAGTTGTTAAAAGCCCGATGAGCTGCACAGAGTACAGGTCTACGAGCTGAAAGCAGGATCCTGAGATGAGAAATGAGGAGCAGTACGGTATAGATTCTGGATTCTGACTTGCAGGTCTTTGTGGAAGATGGAAATAGAGGAAAGCTGGGGCCTGCTCCTGTCCTCACTTACCGTTACTAATATTCTGGCCTAACGATTTGCTAATTCTAGCAGAACTTCCCTTCTTCACTGAGGTCAAACCAGGAAAGATTAGTTATATTCTTATACTGCGGCTCAGCATTTATATTCATATATGTATTCATTATATATATATTAGTTATATTCATATACTGCGCCTTCCAGTAACACATACAGCAACCTCACACCCTCTCGTTGCGAGGGCTCGCTGCAGCAGTCAACAGCTGCTGCTCACTCGTGCAGAGGATCCCCCGTGCAACACACCCAGTCACAGGGACCCTTTTCCCCTTTTCTGGTGTCGCACTGCCGAATTTCCTATTTTGAAATACTGATGTGAGGGGCTTATGCCCTGGGGTGACCGCGGCAGGGGCATGTGTTGCCTTCTGCTGGCTTTGCTGGGAGGACTGCAGCCACTAGCGGGTGGCTGGTGCCCACGGTCATGGGGTGCCTGGAGCTCATACAACAGCGCTTGGGTACATCGCCTGCGTCATGAGAAGTGACTCCAGCAGCTTGTTTGAAATGTCTGCGATCTGTAGCTGATTCTGCTACTGACTTGTTGCTGACTTCCAGCATGTAATCATTTTCTGCTATCTAAAAATAGCTTCTTGGGATTTTTTTCAATCCTAGGAAAAAAAATTTGAGAATTATCTGAACGCAACATCAGTGTGAAAGGTTGTCATTACCTTGGGCTCCCTCAGATAGCAGTGCATAGCTTGTGTGACGTCAGCAGCGTGGACAGCGTTGTGGTACGGGTTCTGGCTATGGTAATCTTCTTGAACCATAACTGGGAACCAAAACAGAAAACAAAGATCCTTTTGTCTCTGAATGCCATGGCCACAAGTGGGAGCTGGATTTAAAATACAATTTGAGGTTTTACAGTCAGCTGCCTAGGGACTTTCTTCAAATATCTGTAGCTTACTTAGACCGGTGCTCTTATTGGGATACCTTTAGAGAAAAAATGCATGAAAGGATTTGTGAGGCTCAAGGGGATACACTGGGTCTAGTTCATAAATCAACTCTTTCTTGCCTTAGTGAAGGGTCTCATTCAGGAGTAAAATAAATAAGGAAGAGAGGCAAATTTATCCACAACGGAGTGTAATTACTCAGGCTGCTGTCATAGGGGAGTAATATGTCATTAAGGCAGTACTACCTATTTTACAGCAGCAGGGGCTGAGGCCCTGATGTCCTGGCATCATTTGTTATTTGAGTGACTAACTACAGTCGAAGGCATTCCTAGATCGTCCAAGGCAGAGAATCAAAAGATACAGCACTGGGGTATTCGGAGCGAAATCTTCTGTGATAATTTTAGCACATCTATGTCTTCGTTTTAAGATACCAGTCCTTCTTGTTTTGGTTTGCGGTGCTGGAACTGGTCCAGCTGGACCAGGAGCGCCAACCTTTTAACTCTCAGCTTTCACTCACACCGAAAATCATCGAGATGTTGTACTTCACACTCGTCTGTTCCTTGCAGCAGTGCTTGCACCATTAGGTGGTCTCAGGGCAACTTCACGTGAACACTGGAAGCTGCAAGTGATCTTGCCCAAAGAGCTCTCCTAGACACTATCAAATTAATCAAACAGAAAGGTAACGGGCAAGTTTCCCACGGCACTCGTCTCCAGCATGGGGAACGCCAAAGAAAGTCCTAGCCTTCGGTTTGTTTCCAACTCCACAAGCATCTGAAGTTACAGCGGGTAATACTTTAAGCCCCGAGTACCACCAGCTCTAATGATCTGAGCATCCACTTCGTGGCTGCCCACAGGAGTTAGGAACGGCAGGGAGATTTCGTCTGCCTCCGCACCAGAGGAATGCTTTCCAGAAGCGACAATTAGGTAGTCTTAAAGAAGAGACCCTGCCTTGGCAACTCTGCCTGACAGCCTAACAAACTGGCATTCAGCTGCATTCAAAACATGATGCAAAAAGTAATTGATTTTGGCCAATTTCTTCTTTTGGTTCACTGACAGCATGGGGCTAATATTTCTGTTGGCAGTAACAGCAGCAGGGGCTTTCATCAACACTATTCAGCGCAGACAGCTTGATATAATTTGTTAAATTTTTCACATAAGCTTTTAACTGCCCTGAGTCTCAGTGGTCTATTAGTCACTAAAATAATGACACTGCACCACAATTGTGCTGTGCACGGGTAGGTCCTGCAATGTCTGTCTGTCTGTGTGGGCCTCCTCGGTTGGCCACATCTCCGCATGACATACTTTTTTTTAAATCACCAGTGCAATTGTGGTACTGGGAAGCTTCAGCCCAAGGCAGAGCCTTCTGAAGTCCCTCCACCGACTTAACAGGTACTGAACCGAGTACCTGAGTGCCTGTAAATTGCGTGCCAATACATATCGCAGAAAATGTTTTACTGAAATATTTGCAGCAATCATATTTTACATAGATATGCTGACCGAGCCAATGCCTTTTTTGACGCCCTACTTAAGCTGTGAACTACATTTAAAGATGGCTTTGAGGTGAGCACTTACCTAAAAACCTGTGTAAGGTAACCATATCTAACTGGAAATGGTGAATAAGTCCATGCACATTGAAGAGGTGACAAAGCAGTGTTACGAGACTGTTTCCTAAAAGCAGAAAGGAACAATTCTTAGATTCACTTAACATGTAGTTACAAACCAAGCGAGGCCAAGAATCTTGGTAATTTCGTAACTATTAGTCAGCTCCTACCACCTTAGCTCCCATTATATGCCTTCAGATGACACACATATACTCGGAAGTAGCTGATATAAATTACTCTTATATATAATAAAGATTTGATGCTACAGCTGTACCAGAGGGGTGTGTCTAGATGGCATAAAGTCACATTTGCTGTTTTAACATGACACAGAAGGCCAGCTGACATGGTTTTAACTAGAAATCTTTTGACAGGCTTTCTTGAGAACACATCACCTCCATAATCAGGTCCACCTCCAGAAAAGACAGAAAGGAGAATGGGTTTTCTGCCACTTTACTTTGCCATACTGTACTAATTAATTAATGATTGAGAAATCAGCAGTTTGTAATTAAATTCTTTATTTTACACATGGCTGTACAAACGTGTAATTAACTCATGTACCTAGCTCAGCTACAATTGCATGTCATAATGATGATGCAGATGGGAAAAAATGAGTCGCAGCATTTACAGTCTCAAGTCCAACTATAATATTACACTGGCCTTTACTGTGAATCCAATACTGGGAACACTGGCGAAATTGAGCCTAACTGTGTTATACGATCAACTATACATACAGACAGTATTTTAAAAAGTTTGCACTGCATAATTTAGCAGCAATGTTTCCAGAAAAGTAAGAAGAAAAATCCCAACCCAAGCAACCCATACAAAGTATAAACAATGTTTGAAGGGAGTCTTTTTTCATTTAATGTAACTCAGGAAAGAAAATAAATATACATACGAAGAGGACATGGAAACTTATTTGGACTTGGCTACTGAGCAGGGGCGCAGAAAGGTAATTTAGAAGAATTATGCTTTTGCTTCCCTTGCCATTTGCAGTCCTTTCCACTCTTCGCTGCCAGTCACTCAGCTGAATTACCCTCTAAACCAGCTTTTCTACACCTTCTGTCTCAGCCAAACCTGATTAGATTGGGGGTGAGGAATGAGGGATCTCATTCCTATGAGCAACACGGAAAGGAAAAAGGTGTGATCATGACCCTCTTCAGCAGTTACCTGATCAAGAGGTATTGCCTAGACATTGGGGCGGGGGGGGGGGGGGGGGGGGGAGGGGGACCTTGAAGTGTTACAGGCATCTGTTTAGACAAAGAGCTTCACAGGTTTTTACTGTCTTTAATGACTTTTCCTAAATTCTGCTGCTGAACAGAAGCAAGGGTATCTTTGGTTAAAAGCATTTCATGTTGATAGAAATTGGCTGATTATAGACTTATCGACCAATGTATCTGATAGATACGTTTGAAGTACCTTTGGAATTTCCCAGATAAAGGAAACTTTAACACCTCCTTGAAACCAATAAGCAATTCACAATAAAAAAGCAAAAGGTGACCAAAACAAATGTATGAGATTAGATTAATACAAAAACACACTTTAAACATTATCCTACAGCTGTGAACATTCTGGGAAAAATCTGGAAACATTCAAGGATATGATTTTAAGAGGAGTTAACTGTGTCCACTTTCTCTTCTGTAATCTTAACTGGAAAGCAATAAATTAATTAGAGATTTTTAGAATAGTCAAATACGAGAGATCTTAAACTAAAACATTTTTGTTTAATTACTTACCATTTGTCAAGCGGTCAAACAAGAAAATGTCAAAATCCCACATTCCCACTTTGGATAGCATATGCTAGAAAAAACAAATATGGAAAGGCAAATGACTGGTACGTCAAACTGTAAAGCAGATGAAAATTATTATTCCACATTAATCAATCACAGGATTGGTTGCTGCAGCTTTAAGATTTGTTTGGGAAAACTAGAGAGATGTATTTGAAATATCAGATATTGGGAACCAAGTTTAGCTATACTGCATAAAATATCACTTGCACTTTTAACTGAGGAGGTTTTGAACTTGATATTAAAAATACCTTCAAAATGGAGCTCAAAACATGGAATAATATAAAACAAAGTATTATGAAAATATTCCCTTTCACTGCACAAGTTTTTTGTTGTTCTTTCATGTCCTCAAATCAATTCAATACAAACAATACAAATCAATTCAATACAAACTCTCTATGAATTACATTTTGCTAAACGAACCAATACACAGGAATTCCTTTTATAAACTTGGATACAGTGCTTCTGTGAAGCCCACTCAGCTACGCAGAAGATTTCATCATTACCACCATATACAGTGTTTTTACAGGTACATCAGTTCAGTCAAGAGACTGAGTCTAGACTAACTGTATGACCTACAATGGCGTATGTGTGAATGAATGAATGTTCATTCCCATTGCTTATTCTATATTCAAACCAGTTCTGGATTCTTAATTACTTTCTAACACCTGGCATGTAATCTTCTCTTGCAGAGAATAAAAATTGCCTAGGCACATAATCCCAATGCCATCAGTTGTGCAAGTTTTGTTAGAAAATATCATTCCAAGCAAGCATAAGAGCTGCAAAATAAAAGAATTTTATTTTGATTATTGTGAAGTTCTTTTCAGTGAATATTCAGTGAATATTCCCTGCTTCCTAGCCTTTGCCTTTCCCCATTTCCTAGCTATTTGCCTAATAGCTGCTCCACACCAGCTGAGAGACAGCTGTCTTTTTGCAAGCGGATGAACTAAATCCTGTGTCAAGGCTGCACTTACTTAAATCGGTAACTCAGCCAGGGATCCCTCATCCTTTAATAAATCCAGATTATAACTCCAGTTGACAGAATCTGAAAATGCTGAATAGGTTTAGACATTTTCTGGTTGCTTTGAGACTAAGCCCTTAAAACTGTAACCACAAAAGAGGAATGGACAATCTGTCTGCTGTGAGGCCGGCAAGTAACGTGGGTCATTTAAGAAAGATCAGCCATGCATTTGTTCATTTGAAGACTGAAACAAAACTGACACTCTTTGGAATATTATTAAAAGAAATGGAGATCTGGAGACCCGTCTTACCCTTGCTTGCCCAAGGTAGTCCTCATCCAGTAGGTACAAAGAGGCTTGTGGTACAATTCCACGCAGTAACCGGGATGCATGGAAATACCTCTGGAAACTTAACAGTCTTTTCACCTTTTTCTTGGTGCCAATTTCCCCTGAGAGTGTAGTATCTATGAAAAGCAATCAGTACAGAAATCATGAAACCCAAGATGAAGGATGACATTCTCAATTATTCAATACGAGAAATAGCAAAAACTTTAAAATAGTGATAGAAAAATCATAAAGTTCGTGCTTCTTGCCAATCCACATGAAGGAGCAGTATTCAAATCTCTAGACTCCAGCATAATACAGTTATTTCAGAAAAGAAATGCTTTCCAGCAATCACAATAGTAATGTAGGACTTGGAAGGTCTGAGTTCGGTACACTGCCTGCCACAGACTTTAATGTGATCCAGGCTAAGTCACTGGAGGGGGGAGTGATATATCACCCAACCGTAGATGTGTAGAAGGATCCTACGGATCCTAACTAGGCAGAGTTAGGTACGGGGAAGCTGCTCTTATTCTTCTGTGCCTCTGTTCCCTGTCTGTACAACTGAAAACAGCATGCCCTTGCTGCCTCGCAGGAGTGCCACTGGAATGTATTAAAATTGCACAGCGCTAGCATACAAGGTGATCTTGGATATAAAACCAAAAAGTGACACCAAAAGAGACCTCAAAATACAGTTTGAAAGCACAAATGTATGACCCTTTTGGAAAATGAGAGAAGAGAGAGAAAGAAGTAAGAATAGGTTAATAATCCTATTGTATTGTCTGCTGTCCTTCCTACATATTAAGGCAAATTACAAATGAAGAAAATGTTTCAGTTCTACAATTAGGAAAGTAAGAAAGAATTAGGCAATACATGCATTTCTGGTTACACAACAGAATATGTTATTTTCACTCAGTACCAGGATAATTCTAATTCCCTAATGCTGTATTAGGAGATTTTCATATAGGGCTAAATGTGACACAAAAACCAAGGCAGTATTTATAAAGTGATTATATCAGTAATTAGAGTAATTACATTACTTTATTGTTCGCAAGAATAATATGCAGGCTTCCTAAAACTGATAATGACTTAGGTAATTTCATCCAAACTTTTAACAGAATCTCACGTACAGTTCTGATGTTTTCATACTGCAGTCTGGTTATAAGTTTTGGAAAAAGGGACGACAGAAACTGGACTTCTGTTCGAAAGTAGTAAGATTCAACACAGTTTTATCCGTAAGAGGAACCTTGTAAGAAACTGAAATGAAGCACTCCTTTTAGAGAACAGTAAGGACTGCTCGACATAAGAAGCTGCACAGCAATTCACTGGAGTTCAGGTTTAAATAAGAGCTCAGGAAAAATACCCATGAAGATGATGACTCTCTCTACTCTGCTATTTCTTTTTATGCAAAAATGCTGAGCATTTGTTCTGCTGTGAAATTAAAATATGACTTTGTACACTGGTTTTATGAGTAGTATTATTCTGAGAGGTTTTTCAGAGAAGTCATTAAGGTTTTTTTGGATCATAGATCCAGGAGCAACACAAAGTCAGTAACAACAAAAAATACATACTTACATAGCGAGTATCAATAATGAATATATTTTCTTAGAACTGTAAGTCCCACACTTCTTGTGGGCAGCCCAAAGACCCCACTGAGTTTTAATCATATAAAAACACAAAATAATTTTATTGCAACTTGACAAGCCATGTGTTTTCAAGAATGCAAACAGTAACAATGTCACTACTGTACCAGCCTGAAGGTTAGATTTTCATTTATGATGTGCCAGCACCTGCCTTAATTCTCTCACACGTTTTAAAAGCTGGAACAATTTCATGGCCCATTGGAGGAGTGACTAACGTAGGTGCTAACAGTTACCCAGTGACAGCGGCATGTGAAGGAACCAGCAGACTTGTTTTCGCCTTTCTTTTCATTTATATAGTGCTGCTAAGAAGCGGCTGGCATTCAGTTTGATTCCTGGATAACAAAACACTCTTTAAATTAATTCACTTTTTAAACTTGTGTTGGCTGTTTCGCAACTTCCCAACTTTCCTAATTCTATCTTTGCTCCCCAAATGCCACTGCTTTCAGGTGACGAGTTTAAATTTTAACGTACGAAAAACTTTACTTTTGTACATTAAAAATGAGTAGCTGCTCCAACTAATTTCTACCTAAGTTAATATCTGTTTTTTTCAGTTAAAGACAGATGACTGAAATTACCAGTTATGTTCCCTAAACTGTCTTTAAAACTCACAGGTAGAGTTGCTGTGGATGATCTGAAGGTGAAAGTTTGTTTGGCCTGAGTCCCAGCAAACAGCTGTACATTGGATTACGAAGAAGTGGTTGTTTTATCCTTTGGATTACCAGACGATTTCAGTAGCACAAATAATACTTACCAAACCACAAGCACATCAGGTTGAAATAAATAATTTCTTATTGTGAAATATATTTTCTGAATTGAAAAAATTGGCACCAAAACTTGCTGCCACTGCTTTGTCACGTTGCTCTGTATGGTTGTTACGGGTCTCAACCAAAATTTAATCATCGGCAGACAGCGTCTCTTGAAACATGACTTGCTGCTTCAGATGAGCACTGTATTACAATATATTATGCAAAAAAGATTACCCACATAATCCGTTGCCTTGTATTTTCATTCGTAAGGGAAGGAGTTCATAATACTGATAAAGAACAGTAGGAAATGTATTTTCAAAATTGGGCTCTTGACAGAACAGCCTGAATCCCGCACTGCAGTCTGTCCACACGCAAACACTGGATATCATGTGGAAATCACATTCTTTAGGTAATTTCAGCAATAATTGATTTGTCCGTAAATCACAGGACTTGTCAGACGGTTGCTATGACCCTTAACAGATTACTAAACCATCCACAATAATGTACCTTACAATGGTGTCTTGCATAAAAATGGACTAAGACTATCCCCCTCTCTGAGCACAACGCACCCCAAACTGTTATAATCTCATCAGCGTTTTCTCTGTCCCTTCCCAAGGTCAGTGTCAAACAAAAAGGAAAAGCACAGCCATGTGAAATTGAGAGAAAAAGGACAATTAAAAAAGCAAAAAGTGAAGCAGATGAATAAATGCTGAAATTCTGCCCTCAGCTCAGCAGTCACACTTGAATCTTCCAGCAGTGAAGAGCCGTTCCCAGCATATGGGATCCACCAGCTGACACAAAATCAAGATGCAGTTTTAAGATTTAATTAAAGGTTTATATGAATGACTTACAGTAATGTGCTGAATATACCACTTCTTTATTGACAATTGTAAATTTCAATTTAAATTGTAAATACAAAATTTTGATGATGACACCTGATGTACTTACTTACTAACTTACGAGTTTGAAACATAAAGAGTTATTGATAGCCATTTCTGATCAGGTTAAATTGAATTAGAGGTGAATCAAAAACATCATTGCAGATATCACTGAACTTCAATCGTGGAACTGTGGGTATTAAAACATATGCTATATTATCTAGTTAAAGAACACAAGCTGCAAGGCTCACATGGGAAGAATTTAGTAATTATGTGCCATTTCAAAATGAACGTGTAAGACGAACAAAAATGTCTTTTGTTTATACCCATAAAACTTCCCTCGAGAACTATGTTTATCTTTAATCACTGTGGCAACTTCTGAATGTTTTGTTTACCTAAAAAAAGCATCATCTGTATCTCTTAAAAGAGGCACATTCTCATATCCCATGGAGTTACTGCCTAGCACAGTGGTTGGAGAATCTCTTCTTTGTATAGTGAACAAAGTTATTGCATGCATTACAAACACATATACATGTCGTATGAATTACATACAGATTTACAGAAGCATCCGTGTAAGCAATCCTGACACAGCTTAACCTCTACCTTCAAAAACACAGGTGGCCTGAGCTCACAGCGTATCTCCTGACATGTTTCGGCTGGTGGGAAAAGTATTTGCATTTTTCCTCGGGTAATTTGATTGCCACATCACGTGGCACATACATGCTACCGGACCACGGATGACGTCTGGATACTACACGTGGCCCTCAAGAGGTTAATAAGCTACAGGAATCAATGGTTGCCTTCTCTTTCCTAACAAAGTTCCTCCAGTTACACAGATCTGCTCACCTTGACAAGATCTACAGCCCACTGCACCCCAACCTCTGTTACTTCAGGGAAAGAGTTTCCCTGCACTAGGAGCCGCTACCGGTTTTCTTTCAGATTTCTTTCACGCTGCGGCGCGAGCGCGCGCCCACAGGCAGCGTGAATGTAAAAATGATGGAGGTTATGTTAACAATGGCTGAGTTAACACCCAGAAACGATCACATAAATCAAATTTGGACAAGGATGTACTTAAGTCTGCACGAGACATTCATTACGTTGCTATTGTTCTTTCAAAATAAACAAACTTGGTTATGCATTCAAATAAGGCCTGGGAGTTTTCCTTCACAGTATCACCTTTTTTTCATTTTATTGCACCTCAGCGTACAATAAAAACAGGTCACTCAGCAGCATGAGACGATAGCAACAGGTTTATTAATTTTCAAAAGCCAACTGATTAAGAAACAGAAAATGTTTTTCCTCTCCTTTCCAAAAGGATGCAGAATAAAACTAACACACGTAAAACGGGTCATCAAGCACCTCCCTTTGACTCATGTAAGGTTTCGAATACCCCCTCCCCTCTTCTGAGTAAGCAAAGACATTCTGTACAACTGTATGCTCGACGACTCAGGCAGGACTGGTAGAAAAGCGCTGGAGTATCTGCAGGTTAAGGCAAGAGGATCAGACCAGCAATTTACTGTCCAGACAGTTTGCAAACAGTGGGGACCCTGGGAAACAATTTGTCTCTGGTCCCATATGTTACGAAGGCAATTTCCTGCATTGGTTCCTGGTTTGACAGCTGATTAGAATGCTTTAGTTTGAAAGCTCAAGAGATATGTAATTGACTTATGAGGGATAATAGGTGATTGTCCATTTTTTTGTGTGTCAAATCATGCCAGGCATTTAGATCACCTTTACTGAAGTCTTGATTGGCATACTCATCGCATGACTTGGTTGCTAGATTTTTCTTATAAGGAGGAGCGCATAGCACTGATGATAGAAAAAAGAATGCTTTGCCTTCTTAGTATCTTCTTACATTATGCATTTGCCATATTAT